CAAATTAAAGATCCCGTTCCCCTTGTTCATCTCACTAGCGATCTAGGACGGTCGTTGTTTCGAATGATACCATTCGAGACGGGCGGTATGTTTCGGAACATGCCAAGAATCCGGAGCGTCTCCGAGACGCGTTAAACCGCGCGCTTTAGGTCCTCGTTACGCACATCGACATGTCTCATTCGCGGCCCGCTTTCGTTGCTCGAGTGCGCTGTGTATCAATTTTCGATCCGTCGCGCACCCCCCGTTCAAGCGGATCCGCACCGATAGATCCTTCATTCTCAAGTCTGAATCCGACCTTTGGTGACGACGCATACCTTCGAGTGAGTGAGATTCGTACTTCACGTTGAAGAGAAACTTCGTGGAGCTTCGACAGAGCCTCCTTTCCGCCGATCAACGGCAAGTATTGTACCGGATCGCGCCAACGAGATTCTCGGGCAGTCTCGCGAATTATTGTCGACGTCGCGACTCTTTTCGGCCGTGTGTTCAGCACGTACCAGCCACGTGATCCGACCTTCTCCGTCGACCGAAGGCTCAGCCAGACGAGATATCGAGGGAACGGTGGATCGCGCGTTCGCGAGCGGAGCTTGGTCGCTGCGAGTTCACGATATCTCCGTCGCGACAAGATTTCCGTCGTGTTAGGAACTCACAGCGAGTTCCAGAAGATTTCCTTCGCGGTTCGCGCGCAGCTGTAACGATCAAGCGTCAAGATTTCCGACCGTTCCGTTTCATTTTCGTCACCGCTCCGCCCTCAAACTCAGCTGTTAAGTGCAATAAAGTTTACGTGATTCTCAACGTTGGGTTAACAGTCAATTCCCTTCCACCCCTCCATTCCCGATTAAAATTAAATTAACTTAGCGCATTCCCAAACACTGATGCTTCATGTTTTCCCCCGTTGTCAAGCTGTAATAATTTTGCAATTTTATATATTGGTGTAAGTTCGCATAGTAAATCAAAATTTGAAACTGTAGAAATTACAGTAAAGGATGCGTTTCAACATACCTCTTGTATGTAGGTTGCATGTCTAACATCTTGTTCTTCATGTCCTGACTGCAGTGGTTCCAATGCAACAACGTCTAGGTAACATTCTAAGTTTGAGGTAGATGTTGTAACTTGCTGAGAATCGATATCATTACTTGTTGCTATACATATGATTCTACTTGGTATGTTGAGATATGGTACAGCATCATCTTTTAATTTTCGTCTATGAATGGAAAAAATGTAATCCTTTTCCGAGAAATGTTTGTGACAAACACGTAGTTTGCATTCTGCAAGACTTACAACGTGTTCTAGCTTTTCCATTTTTAAATTTTTTAGCCATGACAAACGTCGACCAATATTCTTTGGAAATTGGTGAGCTGGAGTGCGTGAATTTGACTTACAACCTGGTACAATGCATGCTTGTCTCATGGCTAGTTGGATAGACTGTTTCCGTTATACTTTTTAAAATAAAATCTTGAGAAATTGCTAGCTTTCTTTTCACTCTTTCTTGTCAATGTCAAAAACTGAATCGGGTTACTCACGCACGCATTCGTCTAACCTCTGTGTTCGTGTTGACATTTGCGCCATCTAGTTTATGTAGCGTTTGGTGGAACTACACTGAGGTCCAAGTTCTTACATATAAGTGTCCACCCGCTGCGACGAACGCCGACGGGCAGACTCGAGAAAATGACGCCGACGAGTCGCCCCACGAAGATGCCGAGGAAAAGCTCCAGCAACCAGAGGAACCGGAGGAAGAGCCCCTGCCGCAACGCCCTGAGCGTGTAGCTGCAGCCAAGCCAGAAGGCTTCTATAAACATTTTTATTGAATGTCAGCGCTCTTTATCTCCTTGCTCATTATCTCCTTTTTTTGTTTTGTCCTTCGGTAGTGGCGATCACATTCGAGAAGGGAGGAGTGTGATAACAAAAGCACAGCACCACCGCTAGGAGCGCGCGGCGCAGACAGAGGGAAAGAGTTTTTGGGAGTGAACCGTTTCCGTTGTACTCAGAGAAACAAAATATGTATATACAGTCGCAAGATATTTGTAGCGTGCCTCATTTCCTAAGACCCACCAGCGGGATTATCACAAATTAAATGTGATTATAAACGTGTTTTGTAACATTTTTCCAAAATTCTTGAAGATACAATCAGAATTTTAATAAAATAAAACATTTTATTGGAAAAAATGAAGAAGGTAATATTAAGCAGATAAATATATATACAATTAAATATTTTATTCTAAAGTCTTAGCGCTGCTAAACCGAATTTTACGCACGCACGCACGCACGCACGTACGTACGCACGCACGCGTGACAGTAAATTTGTTCAGGCACAACATGGATTTTGACTTCGTCATGACTCCATGTTGTGCCTGAACACTGATCTCGCCTGAACATTAATCTCGCGATATAATTTCGCCGAAGCCGACCCAGCGCGCAGTTGTGAACGACCATGCGCGCCTGCTCGAATGGGCAACACGTCGTACTGACATGTATGTTGCCTTAACATCCTGTACATGCATATTACAAGGTAATCTGATGTACTAATAAAAGTCCCGATTTTTTGGGTTCTGTCCCGATTTTCGGAAACTGATGTCCCGAAATTAAATGTTCAAGAGTTGGTCACCCTAGTTGTCGGTGTTATTTCTTTAGCGTGTTCGTGTGCGTGTCGATACCCGTCCCGTCATCCCGTTCCCGCGCGCCCGTGCATACGGGACCCTGCCACTCTGCCGACGGAAGGAGCTAGCCGGCCTTTTCGCGTCGAGGAGGCGGAATCGCGGCGCCCTTCGGGAAAACCGGCGCCGCTTAGACCGGTGGATTTTGTCCGTCTTGCGATTGTGGATTGATGCTACCCGCGAGCGCATCTGGCGCCCAACCTGCGATTTCGCGCGCATTCCAGGAACTCGCCCGGAACGGCGAATTTTTCGTAACGACTCGCGATCCGCCTCTTTCTTCGTCGCGCCGTGAGAAAAGCGGAAAAAGACGTGACAGTACTTCCGCGGTCCGATATTGTCTTTGGGACGCTATAACTTCTAAAATAATCTAGTAGCTCCAATATACAGGGTCTGTCCAATAAGTTTTCGTACTGATTTTCTCTCGCCCAATGGAAGCGTTGGAGGACGATCCCGCTGGGCTTGATTGGTGGTGGGGGGTCTCTAGTAAGCAGGAAAAATTGGTTTAGTTGCCTCCGAGCCTGCACAGTGTGTGGATTGCTTGTACAGTGAGACTCGGTTGAAGTCACACGTCACGGATCAAGATGCAGCGAACAGCGTTACAACATCAAATTTTGTGTCAAACTCGGCAAAACCGCTACTGAGACATTAAAAATGCTTCAGTTGGCTTACGGAGACGAAGCCATGAATAGAACAAGTGTGTTTGAATGGCGTAAAAAATTTAAGGAGGGCTTTTCGTCACATTTTCATCGGCTGTTGCTGAAACCGGTCGTCCTGCGCGTTGATCGCCTTGAATGTCTCTCGGCTCTCCTTCAATTTTTTATGCCACTGACTTTTTAAACCAAAACTGAAGCATTTTTAACGTCTCAGTAGCGGTTTTGCCGAGTTTGACACAAAATTTGATGTAGCGCTGTTCGAAATTTCGCTGCATCTTGATCCCCAAAGAGAAGTAATTCATCGATTGATGTCGAAACGATGTCGATTCGACATCAAGTTGATGGTGTCGATGTCAATGCAACATTGTTTCGACATCGATCGACGAGCCATTTCACGCTGGGTCCATGACACGTGACTTCAACAGAGTCTCACTGTACAAGCAATCCACACACTCCGCAGGCTTAGAGGCAACTAAACCAATTTTTCCTGCTTACTAGAGACCCCACACCACCAAAAGCCCAGCAGGACCGTTCTCCAGCGCTTCCATTGAGCGAGAGAAAATCAGTACGGAAACTTATTGGACAGACCCTGTAGTCTCTCTCGAGTTCGTTATTTTGACCAGATATAACCGAACGTATTTAGTGAATGCATCTATTCTGACAAGAATGTACTTCTTAACTGACACCCGCGGGTCGACGGGGCCAAAATGGTCGATATGGATAACTTTGAATGGGACATTGCCCTTTGCTATGGGATGCAGCCGTTCTTCCGGCTTGCCTGACACTGGAGCAAACGAGATGCATTTCAGACATTGACGTATGTGTAATTCACATTTTTGGCGTATGTCCGGAAACCAATACATTCGGCGAATAGTATTGTTGTGCCGTGTACGGTAACAAAATATTTTATTTTACATGGGATTCGTCCGCCCGAAGAGTAGGGATTCACGAGAGGCGAGGTGTAGGTGAAAACACAACACAGTCGTAAACAAACACCATTTTAATGGCAATACGCGTATACAGGGTGTAACTAAAAAAACATATATGGAACACACCATCAGATATAGCACAGGAATCCAAATAAAAAGTCCTTGGCCATTTTTTGATCTGAGCTTTCCTTTCGTTGTTATACGGCGTTAAAGTTAGCTAATCAGCGCCTGTCTACAGCGGGAAAGCAGGGACGTAGCGAGATGGAATACGCTGCGGAAGCAGGACGACGGTGATCAGCGGAGCGGTTCAAGTTATTTGATAGCGTACGATGAAAATAGTTAATCGATTTATTTCATCCATCATTCGTTTCTATTGATCAATTTCTTTTATTTCCTTCTCATGCTTTTGTAAACTTTTTAAGATTCCAAGTCGTTGGTGACTCATTTCAATACACATTGAAATATTATCAAGTAATCGAAGGTCAAGTTAAAAAATGCTAAGTTTTAAGTTCGGAAACTGTTTTGTAATCCTCAAATACAATAAATTATTCGCAAATTAATTATCCGTAAATTAATCTCGCCGAAAATGTAACAGTTACCTCATATTATTAATATGAGGATTACAAAACAGTTTCCGAACTTAAAACTTAGCATTTTTAACTTGACCTTCGATTACTTGATAATATTTCATTGTATATTGAAATGAGTCACCAACGACTTGGAATCTTAAAAAGTTTACAAAAGCATGAGAAGGAAATAAAAGAAATTGATCAATAGAAACGAATAATGGATGAAATAAATCGATTAACTATTTTCATCGTACGCTAGCAAATAACTTGAACTGCTCCGCTGTTCACCGTCGTTCTGCATTCCGTCTCGCTACGTCCCTGCTTTCCCGCTGTAGACAGGCGCTGATTAGCTAACTTTAACGCCGTAACAACGTATAACAACGAAAGGAATGCTCAGATCAAAAATTGGCCAAGGACTTTTTTATTTGGATTCCTGTGCTATATCTGATGGTGTGTTCCATATATGTTTTTTTAGTTACACCCTGTATATAACTTTTTGGTCACTCACGACATACAGTTTGTAGCACTCGGTGGTAATTTGCTGCGCTCAATACGCGACACTGACTGGCTCTCAATTTACTCTCTATCTAAAACGTCCCTGGGACGGTTTATATCCCTTGTTGCTTCCGCTTACGCATCGATCTTTCCCAATACAATGCGGGCGATCTTTGCTCGGCCGCATTAAGAGCTTCCGGTGCATAAGCATTTTCGCAATATCGCGTGGGCTCATTCCTGGTTTCCTTACGTTTGAAAGTTGGTGGTCTTACAAAAGATTATTGGGTGCTTTCGCGGTCCTGTGTTGCAATTCTTTCGTAAGACCACGTTTTGTGTTGCTAAGCGTTGTGTTGCTATGCGCTTACTTGCTAACGTTAGTCTTTGATTAATCTAGTATTAGTGGTGGTAGCTGTGGGCTACAACACCATCAACCATTTTGTCCACGCCGATATGACCCATCTCGTTATGATAATGATAAAGGACATGCATTTCCATTCGTTGAGGCAATAGGAATAGCAATCTATTTCCATGTTTCTTGTATACTAGCCCATTTCTTAATTCGTATTGCGGGTCGCTTGATTTTTCTAATCTTTGAGATATCTCACGGATTCGGGGATCCTGACTCTGGAAAACTATCAAGTTCCATTCGAAAGGATTGTCTTCCGCTCCTAAGATCTCAAATGAACGGCTTAAAGCGTCCACGTGTCTCATTCGTACACCGGGCCGATGCACAATCCGAAAGTCGAAGTTTTGTAACTCGATGCCCCACCGAGAAATTCTAGGATTTATATCTTGCTTCTCGAGTGTTTGGGTGACTGCAATACAGTCAGACACAATGACAAATGATATGCCCTGAAGATAGACTCGAAATCGGCATACAGCGTACACAATCGCAAGAGTTTCGAGCTTGAAGCTGTGATAACGCGATTCGGGTTTCGTTGTACATTTACTAAAATAGAAAACACAGTGTAATACCCCATCAGGTTGTCTCTGCAAAAGGGTGGCCCCGAATCCGAAAGAGCTGGTATCACAGGCCTACAAGATTTTCCCCGAGATCTAAGGGTGTTTCTCTATGTAATTTTTTGCGCTGAATCCAAATCTGGCCGCAGAATTTGTCTAGCACGTCAGGATTTTGAGATATTCTAATTTAAAAGTGCAAATAAGGCCATTTTTTTACATTTTCAGATGGAAATAAATTTGAAACGCGATTATACTCGTTAATTTAGTCAACAGATTCGGATTTCTCATGACAAAATCTACGAAAATGCATATACGTGGTTTTCGAAATGGTGTAATATAATTACAACTATAGGATATATTAATATTACACTTAATATTAACAAATTCCATTTTTTTTGGTACCTAAGCACCGAACGTTTCTCAGACCGATTTCTCCAGAACTTTGTATCAAAGGGTTTTTCGGGTCACTGATTAAGATTTTAAAGTTAGAATTTGTATTTTCAACATGGCTGATCAAATATGGCGGCCCAAAAATTAAAAAATCGTTACAATTCTCTCAAAATCCTGACGTGCTAGACAAATTCTGCGGCCAGATTTGGATTCAGCGCTAAAAATTACATAGAGAAACACCCTTAAATCTTGGTGGGGATTCAAAAGTGTCATTTTTGTAGGCCTGTGTAATTAATGTCAGTACGCAAAAACACACATTTATCAAAACGCAATTCGAACTTATTCCTAACTAAAATATCGAAAAGAGATCGCATTATCTGTAGATGCTCAGTCATGCTTTAGTAGCCACCAATATATCGTCCAGATAAACGGTAACGTATCCGGACCTCAGCAATTCGTCAAGAACCTCGCTTATGAAGCGCTGGAAGCATTGAGGACCTATTTTTAGGCCAAACGGCATAACTAGATATTCGAATTGACCCAATGGAGTCACGAAAGAAGTGAATTTGATAGACTCTGGGGCCATTGCAATATGGTAAAACCTTAAATCCATTGCACTGAAATATCGTTTACCCCTCAGACGTTCCAGTTGATCCTCGATCAGGGGTAATGGGTAGTTATCGCGGGCCATAACTTTATTAATCGCCCGGAAATCAACGCACATTTTGATTTCGCCATTCTTTTATCGCGTAAGCATGACAGGAGATGCGAATTCCGATGAACTCTTTCGAACAATGCCTCGAGCCAATAGTTCCTCAATGATCTGACCAACTGCTTCCCGATCTAACAATAAGTACGACAGTCTTCGAGGACCGAATTGCACCGGACTGCTATTTTTGAGGACAATGTCAGCCTCCGCCTTTACCTCCGGACCTCCGGACAAGCTGGTCGATCTGATGTATTATAATGTTCGCGAAAGATTTTCTCTAGCGCCTTGCGGTCCACCACCGCAGCGTCTGGATTAATCCTAAGTTTGTTTACCGTGGATTCACACTCGACTTCGATATTTAGGATTTCGGATACTGCACTATCGAGAACAGGACTCTTAGTGAGTTTATATCCAAAACTACACAGGGCGTCGCGCCCTAATAGAATAGATACGAACATCGTATTATCTGAAACTATACCAAAAGTTAATCTACGTGAGTCATTATCCATACTAGTACATAGTTGAATTATTCCCTTGACCGCGACTTTCGAACGGTTCATTCCGTAGTAGCGTTGTGTTAGCGATTCTCGCTAGGAGAGTTCGCTGGTTACCGCTGCGGATGGAAGCAGGGTGAGGACTTAGCGGTGAGAGGCTCAAGGAACGAATGCACGCGTGAGAGGGTGAAATATCACGTGATCGTAACTCGGATCGTTTGAGTAAAATATCGTGTCACAGTTTAATAAGAGTAATATGCTTACAGTTAAGCAGTCTATGAACTTACGGTGGATGAAAAGTCTTTAATTCACTTGCGCGGTTCGATATTATTGATCGAGAGTCGGCCTCGTGAATGTAGATGCCCGTGAGCCGTGTCCACGCGGCGCCGGCGTGCGATGCGTGGTGAGCTTGAGCTGCCGTTGATGCTGTATCTTTGGTCCTGGATGATTCGCACTGCTGAGTGTTCACTTTTGTCCGCACTGAGTCAATTCTCGGATGAGAAAAAGTCCACAAGAGCACTCTAAAAGTCTTAAGCACTACACGACGCGTGTACTAGGTACGGTTGCCATGAGCCAAAAGCCGGTAACGTACGTGAAGAAGCGCCGTCGCCTCGTGTCGCGATCGGGCATGCGCGCGCAGCGCTCCTGCGGCGCTGCACGATCTGACCCGGCTGATGCTGCCATCACGCCGGTGACGAACTGCCCGAGACTCAGAAATGAATCTCGAACATTCCGCCCGCCATCAGCAACGTAGTTGATGATCTTATGAGGAGATCGGCAGGACGGAGAGCTTGATCACTGGTCGGATGAGAGTGGTAGTGGCTGTCTTCTCAGGGTCACCACCCGGACGAGACCATCCTTCCCAGGATGTAGGGCCGTGATCCGGGCTAACGGCCATTTGCATGGCGGTAGCCGCTCGTCAGTGATGAGCACCAATGATCCGATCTTGATCTCGTTGTTCTTGTGGTGCCACTTTGAGATGGCCTGTTGTCGTTGTAGGTAGTGCGCTGCCCAGTGTGTCCAAAAATGTTGTGCCTTTTTCTGGATGAGCTGCCATCGTGAGAGTCTTGAGATTGCCAGGTCGGTGAGTGATGGCTCTGGTATGGTGGTGAGCGGACTTCCTACGAGGAAGTGACCTGGCGTGAGTGCTGAGATGTCGTCTGCGTCGTCACTCAATGGTTCGAGAGGTCGCGAGTTGAGGATTGCCTCAATTTGAGTGAGCAATGTGGTGAGCTCCTCAAAGGTGAGCACGCTTTCTCCAATGGTGCGCCGTAGATGATACTTTATGGATTTTACGACGGCCTCCCATTTTCCTCCCATGTGAGGTGTCGCTGGGGGATTAAATTCCCATCGGGTGTTATCTTGCGAGAGCTGGTGAGAAACTCGCTGATGTTCTTGAGTGCTCTGGGTAAATAGCCTTTTGAGAGCTGTGTCCGCGCCGATAAAATTGGTGCCGCAGTCTGGGTGTAAGGTGTGAGCGATGCCGCGTCTGGATGAGAAGCGTCGATAGGCGGCAATGAATCCCTCGGATGAGTAATCACTAACCGCCCCGAGGTGTACTGCTGAGGTTGCGAAGCAGACGAAAACGCAGATTCAGCCTTTACAGGTTTTGGCACCTCTTCCCTTCCACGTTTCGACGGTGAGTGGCCCTGCGTAGTCCACACCTGTATGAGTGAACGGTCGTGCCTGCGTAACCCGAGAGAGAGGTAGTTGGCCCATCAATTGATGAGCACGGATCCCCCTCTGCCGAGCACACGTGACACACCGCAGAATGTGAGACTTGACAGGAGCCCTCCCGCCGAGAATCCAGTATTGTTGTCGGATGTGCGACAGCGGAAGCTGTCTCCATGTAGAGTCCGTTGATGAGCGTGAGCGATGATCAATGACGACAGCTGAGAGTGACGAGGCAATATTACAGGATGTGTCGCATCGAGTGAGAGAGCTGCGTGAGCGAGTCGTCCGCCGACGCGAATGACTCCCTGAGCGTCGATGTACACAGTCAATGTGTTGAATGCGTGCGCCTTTGCCAACGGTGAGTCTGCCTGTAGTGCCTTGAGCTCGTGCGAGAAGTACGTTGCTTGAGTTGCCTGGATCCAGAAGAGCCTCGCTTTCTCCAAGGTCTCTGGAGCGTTGTGTCTGACAGGCAATGAGTCGTGGCACCTTCCTCAACCGTGAGACGAATCTGAAACAGAGAGCTGTAATCCTCAATAGTTTAGTGAGGCTTGAGTACCTGTAGATGAGTTCCCATTGATAATCTGTCCTTGGCGTAACCGTCAATAGCGAAACGCCTGGGCGAGCTTCTGTTGCACTCAATTCTTCAGAGAGTGCAGGTTGCGACGGCCATGAGTCTGGTTTGAGTATCCAAGGTGGTCCCGTCCATCAAAGCGAGTGGTTTTGAAGTTGAGCAGTCGTGAGGCCTCGTGATGCGCCATCAGCCGGATTGGAACTTCCAGGTATGTATCTCCAGTGAGCAGCTGGAGTGAGTTCTTCAATTTGAGCCACCCTGTTTCTGACAAAATTCTTCCAGCGTGATGCATGAGATCTGATCCATGAACCTTTCACAGAGGTGATCCATGAAAGTGTCACTAGAGATTCCGTCCACATGTGAGTTGCCGTTACGTCCATGTTCAAAGTGGCTTTGACGTATTGCATGAGTCGAGAGAGCAGTAGAGCAGCCGTGAGTTCCAGTCGCGGGATTGAGAGCCGCTTGAGAGGTGCTACCTTAGTTTTGGAGCACACAAGTGAAAACGTGGATCCAGTTGAGTCGTGAACGGAGATGTATACGACTGCAATCATTGTCAATTGAGAACCGTCAGAGAAGTCGTGCAGTTCCAAAGAAGAGTTGCTCCAGGTGTTGAACCATCTAGGTATCGAGAGCTCGGCCGAGCTTGTGAGTTCTTCTCTGTGGATGAGCCACCGGGTTGAGAGCTGGGATGTCCGTGGGTCATCCCATTGGAGCTTGTGCAGCCACAGCTCCTGCAAGAGAATTTTGGCCTTGATCACTACGGGTGATGCAAAACCAAGTGGATCGAGTATCTGAGCCACTTCAGATAAGACGAGGCGTTTTGTGAGTCTGCCTTCCGAGCGTGAGCTTCGGGTTGAGAATGCAAAGGTATCTTCTTGAGGGAGCCATTTGAGTCCGAGTTTCTTGGTTGCGCAATCGTCGAATGTGATTGGTAAGCCTTGGTCTTCGCTGTCGGTGACAGTCTTGAGTATGTCGAGATGAGTTGCATGCCACTTTGCCAGTGGGAAGCCGCCCGCCATGCAGAGGTCCCTTAGTTGAGGTGCAACCTCCTGTAATTGTTGCACGGTATCTGCACCGCCAAATATGTCATCGACATATCTGCCGTGAGTGATAGC